AAAGCCTGTTCTGCTGGGGGGAGGGGAGGCGTACTAGCTTCGCCCCCCTCCCCCCCAGCAGACCAGGGAGACGCGGGCGGCAGACCGAGACGCACCGCGGTCCCGCCACCCGGGTCCTCCGCGGCTTTGCTCTACGTCTCCCTGGTCTGCTGGGAGGGGCTCCCCCAGCAGACCAGGGAGACGCGGAGCAGCTTTTCTTGCCCCGGAGGACACGGGCAGCGGGACCACAGCGCATCTGGGCGGTCCCGCCGCCTGTGTCCTCCGGGGCGAGAAAAGCCCCGTTCATAAGTACGGATCCGACGTAACCGCGTAACCCGGGGACTGCCTGTACTATTTCAAAATAACTAGCGCTATTCCAAAATAATGTAGTCCGCATCTACACAGCAGGCAGTTATTTTGAAACAGTGTCCAAATACAGTCAAGCTGGAGGACTTCTTACTCTACTCCTGTAATCCTCATTGTATGAGGAGTAAGGGAAGTTGGAAGAAGAGTGCTCTATTTTGAAATAAGTGCTGTGTAGACGCTCCCTATTTCGAAATAAGATATGCAATTGACGTAGCTCAATTTGCATAGCTTATTTCGAGGTAAGCCCTGCAGTGTAGATGCACTATAAGAGACCTATTGATGAAAAATAGTATATACAAACTAGGTATTTTTACTCTTATTACCACAGTACTCTGTAATGGCATGGAACTCGCTGCAATATAACAATTTGTTGATAACAGAGCATCTCTGTAGAAAGGAATCATACTAGTTGCTTCATAATAATTGACTTTCCCTTCTTAAAGTCAAGGATTTCTGAGCACGCCATACATATTCTTCGTCAGTGTCCTCAGGAGCGAAGTGAAAAGGATATCAGCTACATACTAATCACTCTGCAGCCTGTGAAGGCCTTTGGAAATTACTCCACAATTATTCAGAAGAAGATGGCAAAGGCTGCATGGTATTCAAGGTAAGAAGGACAACAAATCCTATGGGGAGAGAGATTGAATTGGTAAAGTCATAGTTCTGCTATACAAGCAAAATATGTCAGTGTTTAGGGCAGTACATAAGAGGCAGCAATAGTATGAATTAGTGTATAGGCTGACATGTAACTAGTTTGTGTAAGACAATAACACTATAGTGCTGATGGTGAATAAAGGCAAGCAAATTGCTACACTTTTTTTTTTTTTAACCAATAACTTGTGGTCTTGTATATGGTCTTTACCATAATGTGTCATGTGCCAGTGAGAAGCACCAAGATGTCACAAAAAGCAATATGTACACTGTCACAAATATAGAAAAGGAGGGAATATGGCTAAAGAAATTGAAATATGTGGTACTAGAAGATTTACTCGGAGTTGCTTGAATCCTTAACTCAATTAATTTTTATTTTTCTTCACTTAAATCATTGCTCTGGGATGGGGCTGATATGAGGGGTTTAGGGTGCAAGTTGCCCTGGGGAGAGAGGACTAAACTAGTCCTCTGTCACGGCAGCAACTCAGGGCCAGGTCAGAAGCACCTCTCCATGATAGCTGCAGTAGACACAGATGGGGGAGGGGTGCATGTCCCTCTGTTCGGGAACAGACAGTCACTCAGACATACAAACAGACTCTGAAATATAAGACAGGACTATGCAGCACTTTAAAGACTAACAAGATGGTTTATTAGGTGATGAGCTTTCGTGGGCCAGACCCACTTCTGAGGAAGAGGGTCTGGCCCACAAAAGCTCATCACCTAATAAACCATCTTGTTAGTCTTTAAAGTGCTGCATAGTCCTGTCTTTTGTTTCAGCTAGACCAGACTAACACGGCTACATCCCTGAAATATGTATTAGATAGCTGTCCCTTTCTTCACCCTTGCCTTCTGTTGTCTCAATGGGGTTATAGTTGTCCTGGTCCACATCTCTGGCCTTTTTCTGCTCCCCTGTGGTCATTATATGGTATAACTGTCTCTGCTTTCTATTCCATATCCTCTGCTGCCCCCATGTGGCCCACCCTTTCTGTTTTATGAGAAACAATCCCATTCCAGGCACATCCATTTTCCTGGTACAACCAAACCCTTACCTTGCTTTAAGTCAGGTTGGGGAAACTTTTTAGTCTCCAGGATGGGGGACGGCACTGACTCACAGAAAAATCAGTGGGGGGCTGCACACAAGTGAGAAAGGTGGGGGAAACTAAAACCCTCACTGACATGGCCCCCGACAGAGAGGGGAGAAACAACTCCTCACATTCCTCACACATCGGAGCCCAGGGTAGTAGATTTTATGTGCTCCAGCCCCCACATTGGGGCAACAGGTCCCCGGGCCTGAGGTTCTCCAGCCCTGCTTTAAGTTATAATAATAAGAAGCTGCATACCAAATTTGGAGGTCCTAGCTCTTACCTGTTAGGAGGAGCTCTTGAACAGACAGACACATTCACAGACAAAACTCTAAAAAAAAAAAATCTAATATATATATTTAAGGCAGACTTTAATTTTAACATGTTTGTTCTCTGTTTTGCATTAGATGGAGAGGGTTTTTAAAAGACCTTCCCCGTTTGACAATTTTTTAGTTGATATCAAAGATGGTAATAATTGTTCTTTATGAGGGGGTAAGAGAAGTAGTTAGTTGAGATAGGATGGAATGTCGTTGTTACTGTTTTTGTTAAACTCCAATCCAATTTACTAAAAAGACAAAACAAGACAGAGCTGCACAAAATGGGAGATAAAGGAATAGCAAAGGTAGGAAATGCAGCTTGTGTCTCTGGTGTTGACTTACACTTAAAATCTCACTGCTGAAAGAGGGCACAGTCTGATCTCCCACTATGAGACCTAGCAAACTGGTACCAGCATTGAGCTGTTCAGGGTGTTGGTTTTTAGTTGCCTTTCTGGTTACCGGTTCACTGTTGTGTTGGGAGAATATACAGCCTTGACTGGTTAAGCCAGACTCTTATTAGACAGAAGGGTGAAGGGGAAAAAAAGGGATAGGAAAGAGAAGAAATAAGATTGGAAATGAGAGAGGGCATTTTTTTTTTGTCTGATCCCTGGGTAGTGTTTGAGATTCATCCAGAGCTGGTAGAGATAGCATTGTCAGCTGGATCCTTCTCTTTGGCCTGGTCTGGAAATGTCTTTGGATCAGGATGATAAAGGTCTGGGGTCTCAGAAGACAGTGGAAATGGTAACGTTTGTTCCAGTGGCCAATTTTTCTCCCTACAGTCTCTTTCATTAAGGACTTCAGAAGATAGCATTGAATATAATATCCCATCCACTCATTGTTTTGTCCGCCAATTAGGCCTAATTTCCAACATGCCAATTTCGGGTAGTTGATTTTTGTTCTCAGACTTTTCTTGTTTACCAAGCAGGATCTTATCACAGTGCTTACATTATATCACTAAATCTTTTTGTTTGGATTAATTCAAAGTCTGTCTGTCTTTTGCACCTTTTCATTCCACGTTTATTGCTACAGTTTATTGTGACATTTTTATGAACTCTCACTCACTTTTCCCTGTTGGGCTCACAATTAGGGTAAATATATAGGCCCAGTTATTACAACAGTCCTGAACTAGGTATGTTTAAATCAAAATCCAAAACTTCATCCATATTTCACACCTTGAGCTTCTATGTAAAAGCATTTATACTATTCCAGTGTGAATGTATGATTTAATTTGATTTTAAAAACCTGACATTTTTGGGGAGGAATTTGGAAGTAGAACATATTTTATGTCTGCCAGCCAGGCCTTACTTATATTAGCACTTTTTCTGCCATGGCTGCAGCTCCGCTAATGTTCACAAAAGTGGGAACCTAGTAATAATAATTATAGTAATATCTAGCTATTATGCCCATAGATATCAAAGGAGGCTATACTCAATTTAGAGATGGGAAACTGAGGCATGGAGAAGTGAAATGACTTACTCAAGGTCACCTAGAAGGCCAGTAGCAGATTTGTTACTTCCCTTCATTCCTAATATCTAGGACAGTGTTTCCAAATTTTATTTGGCCACGGAACCCTTTTAAACTCGAAATAATTTTGTGGAATCCCTATTAACAGCCTTATATATGGAGCTGAAAAAGTAGACCACAAATAAGTAAGGAGATAATAATAAACAAATGTTAAACAAGGTCTGGCTAAGCTGACATTACACAGGGTCACTTATCGTGGCAAAAACAAATGAAAATTGTTTTAAATAAAATTAATAAATGCTTAAATGTTTATTATTATTTTTTAAATAATAAAATGTTATTGTAATGGAATTTTCTCACTGAACCCTTATTTTCACTTTGCGGAACCCCGGGGTTCCACGGAACACCATTTGGGAAATACTGCCTTTTGCCAAAGTATGTAAAGCAAAAGGAGAAGCTGATGCAGTTCATAATTTAGCAATGAACTTAAGACTTTGAAGATTCAAGATATTCAGAACAGCAGTGCTGTTAAAGTCTTCACTGTTCAGAGAATTTGTCCTTTCTAGGTATGAATCCTGCCAAGTAATGATCCAACAGGGCTACACACCACACTCCTTCTATATCTGTCTCTCAGGATCTGGTAGGTAGTAATTTATTAAAAATAAGAAGCAATATTTATTGCTGTGTCATAGGGAGCCAAATTAAATTAAGATTCAGTTTATTTATGTGAAGGGTGTACAGTGTTTTATCAACTTAAGACTCTTTACAAGAGGCCTTTTGAATGTTACAGCATTTTAAAATGAACTTCAGTGAGTTGGCAGCTAGCGCAGTAGTTTTATGTGGGGAAGCCTTGTTTTCTGACCTTTGTCAGGGATTGCTGCACTGATAGAGAACTTTGATAAGTTTCCTTGCCTCTGTATTTTGTTGCTGTTAAAGAAAAACCAAACATTAGATAAATGTTGCCCAAAGATAATTCCTTCAGAATTCTCAGAGCAGAGAGAAGGATTTAATCATAATCTTGAATGAAATCCTTTGAATTTCAAAAAGGTTTATTTGTTTACATTTCTTTGCTATATCTTAAACTCCTAGCTTTGTTCCTTTGAATTCCAAATTGCAGCACAGTGAGACTGATTTTGTATGGTACTGAGTGCCACGGTACTCTGTTTCTCACCAGATCTGACCTCCTGGTGGGAAATTTTTGCCACATTAGCTGGAATTAGAGATACAATAATTTGTTGTGGAGGTCTGTTCTCTCTGAGTTATACATACTTGAACATTCACTAAACCTGACAGAAATTATGCATTTGAATGCTCATGCATGTGTTCATGGAAGGAGTAGAGTACTAGTCATGTTTTAAATAGATCTACTTCCTCACACTGTAATACCGTATTTTCCCGCATATAAGACGACTTTTTATACTAAAAAACATCCCCCAAAAATCAGAGGTCGTCTTATACGCCGGGTATAAACATACTGTAGCTTCGGCTACATACAGAACGTCCCTGTGGTGATACTGTATGTACCGCGCTGAGCCAATCATGGCAAGCGGTGTCATCTATTAATGCATACAAAGCCTGCTTGAATTGGCTGAGTCAGAGAGGCGGGCTATTACAACCTTTGCCAATCTGAGCAGGCTTTGTATGCATTACTAGAATACACCGCTTGCCGGGATTGGCTCAGCACGGTACATACAGTATCAGCACAGGCACGTCTTACAAATGATGTCTGTCTTACAAATGTACCACAAGATGTCACTGATGAACTTATGATGTCAGAGGATGAACATGATGAGGATTTTGTACCGGTAAGTCAAAACCATTTTAATTAAAATTATTTAAATCAAATCTGATGTTATTAAATGGTGTTGCCTCGGAAGGGGGGGTAGTGTTATACGGCGAGTATAGGCCAAAACCTATGTTTTAACTGGAAAATTAGGGGGTCGCCTTATACGCCCAGTCGCCTTATACGCCGGAAAATACGGTATGTGTGTTGTTATGCAGCATATCTTCTCTATCTAATCATAATTTGCTAAAACCTAGTGGAAACAATAAAAGAATCAAGTACCTTGCATATTTTGAGACCATTATTGTTAGGGCTGTCAGCTGACATGCGTTAACGCCTGCGATCAACACAGTCCAGGATTAACGTGTTAAATTTTTAACGTGTTAATCACAGACATTAATGCTGCGCTGCCCCTTTGAAACGCCATTGCGGTGCTTCAAAGAGGCAGCACAACGCAGAGTCCGGGATCAGCTGGGGACTCCACAGCTGACCCTGGGCACTCCTGCCCCTTTGAAACACGTAGAGGCTGCATTTCAAAGGGGCATCCGCCTCACAGCTGAGCTGGGAATCAGTTGTGTGGCAGCTGCCCTTTAGAAATGCCGCCTCCGTGTGTTTCAAAGGGGCAGTGGAGCCCGGGGTCAATTGGGAACTCCCCAGCTGATCCTGAGCTCCGTGCTGATCCTGAGCAGCATTTCCAAGGGGCAGCGGAACATGGGGCCCCAGCTGATCCTGAACTCCACCTTGCGCTGACCCCTTGGAAACCTTTGGAAGCACTGCCCTGGCGCTTCCAAGGGGTAGCGCTGCACGGAGCCCAGGGTAAGATGGGGGCTCTAGCTGATCCCAGGCTCTATGCAGCGCTGCCCTGTTGAAACGCCGCAGCAGCATTTCAAAGGGGAGGCATGCATGATTAATTGTGATTACATTTTTTAATCCCTTGACAGCCCTAATTATGTTTGTTTATAAAACCTTTAGTTCCAGGAGGAATTTTGTATTCAATCAATACATATCTGAAGGGTCTGAGTTTTAGGCTCCCTGTCTCCTGGGCAACATATTGTGCCATCTGAAACATGTTGCCATGCACTTTAGACTTTTCTCAGTAGCATATTTGCTAGTGTCCAGGAAATGCCTGTGTTACCTAAATAATTCCTTTCTCTAAGCTCTTAACACCAGTCTGCACTACAGGAAATGTTCCAGACCTTTTGTACCCTTTCAAAGTGTCAGTCTTTGTAATCATAAAAAGTTTAAGTAAACAGTAATTCTGTGTCCCTATCATTTGTCATGTTTTGTAAACCTACCTTCCAGTCCCTATTTTTATTTTCTTTTTGTTTTTGCAAAAACATAAATTTTCGGTTCAAACAGCTTAAAATATCATTTTGAAGCTCACAACAAGCAAGGTAATTCTGCATATACTTCTCATTTAGAGAGGTTCAAACTTTGTTTTTTTATAATTTAACAGCAAATTTTTCATGTTTACCTTGTAGCAACAGTTATCAAGAAGAACAATGACAGTGGTGGGGTAAAGCCTACCTGGTTCTTTAGTCAAGGGGATGCATTTGGGGTGAGTTACAAAGAAGTATGTGAGGTGTTTTAAATAATGCATGAGTGCATGACAGAGTTGAGTCACCCTGTTGTTTTTGCAAGGTACAGTAGACTTCCGATAATCCAGCACCTTTGGGACATAGGTGGTGCCGGATTATCGGATATGCTGGAGTATCAGGAGGTCCCAGTACAGCCGCACGGCTTTTCAGTCAGCTGGCTGGGACCCAATCCCAAACTTCATTTTAAATAAAATATCCTCTCCCCCTCCCCGGAGCAAAACACCCTTCTCCGTGCTGTAACCCGATCCCACTCCACCCCTCCACCTTATGCTCAGGTTCAGGTACAGCCGGCACGTGCGCTGAGCGGCCAGCTTTTCAATCAGCCGGCCGGGAATGCTTGCCATTTTGATGCCAGAGTATCGGGGGTGCCGGACTATTGGAGTTTTACTGTACATAAATTGAGTTTCATGAGTTTATGCACAGATTAGGCATAAAATTGAAATCCCGAGCACTTGTGGAGTTAAATATTCCACATACTCTTCTTGAGAGTTGTTTGCTCAAGTGTCCTTGGGCAACATTTCTACTAGCGATGTAGTATTGCATTCTGTGCACCATTTGGCTAATACTCTGCACTCCCATTACGTTTTGGTGGTGCAGAGATGTATGTCTTTTCCAATATAGGGCCCTATGTACATAAGATGACTTTTTAATGTGTAATTGTTTATTATCTGTTGATTTATTCTCAGTAGCATGAAACATAGTCTCTGTCCCTTAGTTAAATATATATGTAGAAAAGATAGAGAGAAGATTTTCAATTAAAGAAAGACTTTAAAATTGTTTAAGTATTTTAAAATTATAAGCTTTTTCCTCTGACCTCCCTCCTTTTTTATTATTTTCAGGATAGAGAGATTATAAATGGTGACTGTTGGCAGACAACTATTATTATTCAGGAACCCGCTGAGTTTCTCTGTATTGACCGAGAGGTAAATATTTCTTCATTACAAAAAATATAAATGGTTAATAGTCAAACATATGTAAGCTCTCTGTGCCAAATTCTGCCGATAATTACAGCCATGCTATCACTACTGAGTTGCAGCAGTGTTGTATAGGCATAATAAAGGGTCAGAATTTTACCTTCTTTGTTTAGAGACCCTACTGTATCAAATATGATTTGATGTGCAGGAGAAAGATCCTCCACTGATGGCTGTTTTTATATATCATCCTTCAAAAATTTGTTCCATTTGCATTTGACTGATGATCAAGTTCCAACACACCTACTATAAAACTGTCTGGGGTAAAAGTGCAGAATGCTTACCATACATTGGTGATGTGTGGTGTGGGTCAGATTCATGGGATCACACAGTTGATCATATGAATGCAAACACAATCTGAGGTCATCAAACCATATCTATGCAGCATGGACAGAACCAGATTGGCTAGAGTAAAAATTACCTAGGTTTTTGGGTCAGAATTTCGACACATTCTCTTTTGGAAGACTGGAACAGTTTGAATAACATTTATTTTTGCCATTCTTGTGCACTATTGCATTTTTGGGTTTTGGCTGGGAATTGAAGAGGCTCCTAGCAAAGCCTAGAATACCATGAGTGGACTTCTTCTTAAGGTTTCCAGTCAAACTAGGAATACTGTAAGGGCTAGAACAGTGGTCTCCAACCATTAGAGGTTGCCGGGCGCCAGGGAGCGTGGCCGCTTGCCCGCCAGGCGCCAGAGGGCGGGGACACTTGCGCGCCCGGGGGCGCCCCCCCCACAGCCACATGCCCAGGGGCCAGCGCCCCCTCCCAAGCACCGCGTGCCCAGGGCCGGCTCCGGCACCATGCATGCGCCACGTGCCCAGGGCCAGGCCAGCCCCGAGCACTTGGCGGGCGCACACAAATGCCCGCGGGCGCCATGTTGGGGACCACTGGGCTAGAAATTCCATTTGAGTCTCCAGATTTCAGGGGTGGCGAACCTAAGGCCTGGGTGCTGGATGTGGCCCTCAGCTTGCCTGGATCTGGCCCCTGAGGCTCAGGGTTTGCCATGCTACAGTGGGGCTAGAGCATACAAAATCTACTAGCCTGGGCCCTCCTAGGCTCTCGTGTGTGAGGGGAATGTGTGGAGTGTCTTTCTCTTTCTCAGTTGGGGGCCATGTAAGTGAGAGTTTGTTTTTTCTTTTTTGCTCCTCACTTGTGTGCGGCCCCCAATTGATTTGTCTGTGGATCAGTGGCCAAAAGAGGTTCCCCACTCTGGTTCAAAAACTGGGGAGATTCTTTCTTCCAAACCTTTGAAGATATATCCAACTCTAATTGTTCTACATCAACATGAAGCAGGGTCTTTAAAACACAGTGTTCCAAATTAATCTCTGGTTTGTAGTGACCTCAGTGGCATTACATCAAGGATGAATTTGGCCCAGTATTTCTGAACCAAACACTACTTATCTATAAGGCTGCGAAAGTTATCCACAGGTCATGAAAGTTAGATTCCGTAATTTTCTGGGACCTACCTCCATGACTTTTGCAGCTGTCTGTGTGGTTGGGCTGGAGGTCTGCCTGAGCTACTTGGGCAGCCTCTGTACTTTTCACACCAGCCACTGTTGGGGAAGAGTTGGGCTGCTGCCTTCGTAGCAGCAGTGGGGGTTTTGGACCACACATGCTGCTGCCTGCCCGCTCCAGAAGCACTGGGGAACTGGGCATTGTGCTGCCCCCCATCCATGCCCCTGAGCACCTGTGGTGCCTCCAGGCCATCCCCTGCCCCAGAGCACCCAAGATTTAGTCAAGGTTAAAGTCATGGACAGGTAACCGGGCTAAGAGGTGGATTAAAATATCTTGACTATACATTAGGTATGTCAGCGTGTAGACGACTATACACAATTAATTGATAAGCCTAAACTTATCAGTTAATCCTATGAACTACATACTTTGCCCCCCTGCTTTCTCTGTATCAGAGGCTGCAGGATGGGAGAGGGGGGACAGGCAGGAGCCAGTGCTTGGGGTAGCCGACAAGCCCATGGAGAGCTTGGACCCCTCACAAACAGGGACTGCTTCCACCCCATGCTGCAGCCTCTGATAGGCAGCAGTGCAGGGGGCAGGGGGCTCCCTGGGAGTGGGGCCAGGAGCACTCTGGTTGCTGGCCCCACCTCTGGGTACAATCAACTAGTCATGTAACTGCTAAAATTTGATGTGGTTACACAAGTATTCAATTACACGCTATTTAACATCCCTCCTGGACAGCCAAATAACCGGTCACATATGTACTTTGTTGTTTGTGTGTGCAGTTCTTGAGTGCACGAGCAGTAACTGCATACACATATTAGGTATACGTATACAGGGTTTTTTTTCTGAAAATGTAGGTCTTGATATCCATAAGTAAGCATGAAAGGGGGGGCTTGTAAGGTCAGTTGACCTAATGCAGTGGTCCCCATAATGTGGGGCAGGCCCCCCCAACAGGGGAAAGTTGTTATACTTGTAGAACTAGAACTAGCAGAATCTTGTTAGGGGAATAAGGCAATCTGCCTTCACAATAAACATGGCATAATTCATTTACTAACCCTAGCTACTAAAATTACCCGCCACACATACCCACACTCATATACACAGTTCTACAGATGGAATATAATTACCAGCCTCAGTTGCTCATGCTATTCCATTGGATCCGCGTAAGTCGGGGACTGCCTGTATATCAAAGGAATACAATGAAAAAAGTGAACACATTATTAAACTGACAAATCAGATTTAGTACAGAAGGTGGGGTGAGGAGAAGGGAGGGAAGGAGGGAATAGCTATTTGAGTCAATGAATGGCTAATCAGGGGTGATAAGTGGGAAACTATCTTTGTAATGGTTAGGTAATTAGCATCTTTGTTAAGGCCCATTTGTAAAGTGTCAAATTTAAGCATGAAAGAAAGTTCTGAAGTTTCTCTCTGTAATCTGGTATTAAAGTCTCTTTGAAGTAAGATGCATGTAGTAAGGTTGTTAAGACTATATCTAGGTAGGCTGAAATGAAAAGCAGCTGGTTTTTCCTTGTAAAGATGTCTGATGTCTGATTTGTGGGCATTAATTATTTGGTGAAATGTCTGAGAAGTCTGTCCAATATACATAGCAGAAGGACACTGTTGGCACATGATGGCATAAATTATATTTCTGGATGAACAGGAATATGTGTTCTTGATCATATAACTGACATGGTTAGGTCCAGTGATGGTGGCACCAGAGTAAATATGTGGACAAAGTTGGCAATGGGATTTGTTGCAAGGGAAAGTTCCAGGGTTGGTATTAATGTGGTATGTCCTGTAGTTGTTGGTAAGAATCTTCCTGAGGTTAGGTGGTTGTCTATAGGAGACAATGGGTCTGTCCCCCAGAGCCTCTCGGAGTGTAGTATCCTGTTCCAGTATAGGTTGTAGGTTACTGATAATGCGTTGGAGGGGTTTAAGTTGGGGGCTATAGGTGATAAGTGGTGTTTTATTGTTGGTTTTCTTAGGCCTGTCTTGAAGTAGATGGTTTCTGAGTATTTGTCTGGCTCTTTCAATTTGTTTTTTATTTCCCCCGGTGGGTAATTAAGATTTACAAATGCTTGGTAGAGACCGTGAAGTTTCTGGTCTCTGTCAGTGGGATTAGAGTAGATGCTGTTGTACCTAAGGGCTTGGCTATAGATGATGGATCATATGGTGTGTCCTGGATGGAAGCTGGAGGCATGTAGGTGAGTGTAGCAGTCAGTGAGTTTTCTGTAGAGTGTGGTATTTAATTTTCCATTAGTGATTTGTACTGTGGTGTCCAGGAAATGGATTGAATGATCCAGGCTGAGATTGATGGTGGGGTGTAGGTTGTTTAAGACTCTGTGGAATGCATCCAGTGTTTCTTGGCTATGGGTCCAGCTCATAAAGATGTCATCGATTTAGCGTAAGTAAAGGAGGGGGAAAGGGGACAGGATCTGAGGAAACGTTCCAAGTCAGCCATAAAGATGTTAGCATACTGTGGGGCCATTCGGGTACCTATGGCTGTGCCACTGATCTGGAGGTATAAGTTGGTCTTCCTGTGCCCCAATCAGCCCCGGGCCTAACACACAGTTGAGGGGTTTTAGAACCCAATCTCACCTACCCTGAAAGGGTTCTTCCAGTCCCAAGAAACCAGCCACATCTCCCAGGTCAATTTACACTCTGGATCTTACCCACAAGATCACGCTGGGCTAATCCTTTAGAATATAACATTGAAAGGTTTATTACTAAAAGAAAGAAAAGGATGAGAGTAAGCTTGTTAAAGAAAATGCATTACATGCATCAAATCACCAAGTTCTCAATGCAGGCTCTTAGCAGAGATGTATAAACTGTTGTCTTATAAGTTTCTGGTGTACATCCTATGTCAGGATGGGTCCACGGTTCTTTCTGGCGTGTTGTTCTCCGCAAGGCTGCATCTGGAATCAGCAGCTGAATTGAAGACCAAAATGGAGTCTGCCACATGGCCTTTTATATATCCATCCCTAGTCTCTTCCAAGCTGGAATGGGTCACATGGCCTAGGAACCTATCCTTGTGTCCCAAGCCAACAATCATTATTCTGGCTGATCTGCAGGCATCCAGATTCATTCCTCAGGTGTGTCTTTGGCACCTAGAGATCTATTGTCCTTGGAGCCTCTCTAATTAGCATAGCTATTGAACGAACATTCCTGGCACATTGTTCTGCCTCAGACGGAGAATTTTCCTGCATCAGCACAGAGTACATATTTATAACTCCACATACAGATATTATACAAGTACATGAATAGCATATATAGAATCAGTAGAACATAAGCTTTCATGTGACACCTCACATGGCCCCCTTTGTACCGACTTTTGTGGCAAACACCCTCCTCCGGGGTGCAACAATGATCTTTAGAATCCAATAATGTGATAATACCCAACAACATAAAAGCCTCCCTCACATGGTGGACAATACACAACAAAGTATGTTTAGGAGTCTCCTTCCAACAGATTCCGCCATCAATAACCATCACTACAGATGCCTTCCTCCTAGGTTGGGGAGCCCATCTACATCACAGGCTCGTACAGGGTCAATGGATACAAGATGAGACCAAGTACAATATAAACCTACTGGAGTTAAGGGCCATAAGGAATGCCTGCATGCACTTTCTTTCTCTCATTTGAAACAAAATGGTACAGTTACTCAGACAAACATCTCTATGATGTATTACATCAACAGGCAAGGAGGAGCACGCTCATATCGCTTATGCCAGGAAGCAGTACTCCTCTGGGAACGATGTATCCCATGAAACATACACCTGGCTGCATCCTATTTACCAGGCAAAGACAGTACGTTAGCAGACAATCTAAGCAGATAATTCCCACAAAACCATGAGTGCGAGATAAACCAATCAATGCTCACTCACCTCTTCAGGAAATGGGGATTCCCAATGGTGGATCTATTCGTAACACACAAGAATGCTCGCTGCCCACAGTACTGCTCAAGAGCAGGCATAGGTCCTGACTCCCGGGAGATGCCTTCAATATAGAATGGAATGCACACCTGGCATACGTGTTTCTGCCTTTTCCACTTATACAACAAGTGATCCTCAAGATCAAGCGAGACAAAGCCAGAATAATACTCATAGCACCCAACTGGCCCAGGCAGACGTGGTACCCGTACCTGTTACGGATAAGCATTTGGTCACCACATCAATTCCCACTAGTCAAAGATGTTGCTGACACAATGAAAAGGTCGAATTCCCCATCCAACCGTCCACAAATTACACTTCTGGGTGTGGATGCTTGTGGTTAAATTCCACGGAAAGAACCTTTCCAAAGGCAGTACAGATCATCTTCACAAGATGACCTGCAAAAAGAAAGACATATTGTCAAAAATGGAAATGATTCATCTGCCAACAGCCATGGACCGCTCCATAGAGGCTTCTCATACATTCTACAATACTTGTTAGAACTACATAATGTGGGCCTCTCCATGAGTACCATCAGGGTGCACCTTGCTTCCATTTCCGCTATACATGCTCCTGTACAAGGACACTCAATCTTCACATACCCGTCAGTCAAACGCTTTATATGGGGTTTACACAACATGTTTCCCCTATACAAGGAACCAATCCCAGCATGGGACTTGAACCTGGTACTAAAGGTGCTCATGGGTAAACCCTTTGAGCCTCTTGCCACATGTTCACTATTATACCTGTCAATGAAAGTAGCTTTCCTTGTGTCAATCACCTCAGCAAGACGTGTTGGCAAAATAGTAGCCTTAATAGTGGATCCATCATACACTATATTTCATATGGATAAGGTCACACTTAGGACTCATCCCAAATTCCTACCCAAAGTACCACTGCAACGAACCCATATACTTACCTGTTTTCTTCCCTAAACCACACAAGGACAATAAAGAAGCAGCTGTCCATACTCTGGATGTCCGCGGAGCACTGGCATTCTATCTATAGTAGACAAAGCTCTTTCAGAAAACCCCGTGGCTGTTTGTTTAATCAGCAGAGAGGTCACAAGGGTTGCCTATATTGAAACAAAGACTCTCAAATGGATATCTAGTTAGGTTAAACTAGCGTATACCAAAGCCCAGAGAGAGTCCCCACCAACTGTGCAAAGTCACTCAACAAGGGCAATGGCAGCCACAACGGCATTTCTACAAGGTGTCCCAACAGAACACATCTGCAGGGCTGCCTAATGGGCATCAACAAATACCTTCATGCAACGTTATGCAATACAGACATTTGCTGAGTCAGAGACAACATTTGGCCACACAGTACTCTCGGCCTCACAGGCTCAGCATTCGAAACTCCCACCTCCTACTATGAATACTGCTTTGTAATCACCTAAGGGGGAGCACCCGTGGGGACACTCCTCGAAAAAGAAGGGAAAGTTACTCACCTGTGTAGTAACTGGAGTTCTTCGAGATGGTTGTCCCCGTGGGTACTCCACAACCCACCCTCCTCCCCTCTGTTTCAGAATACAGCATATCTGGGTTAGAGAAGGAACTGAGGAGGGGGGCCGGCCAAGCATGTACAGTAGCTTCTTCAGAACACACACTGGCTCCTTGCACGCGTGATCGGCCAGGGGCATTGCTGTCACGAATTTCTGGCCTCGGGCTCAGCGGCACCGAAGTACCTAAGTAGAGCACACTTGGGGACAACCATCTTGAAGAACTCGTTACTACACAGGTGAGTAACCTTCCCTTCTGAACATCAGCAGGAGGTGAGGGGAGGAAAAGTACCATAAAGGAAGTGGGATATGCAAAGAATATGTTGCATGTCCTCTGCAAAGGATATGTTGGTTAATCTGTCTTTCTTGTAACATTGCTTTCTACCATTGTCATCCCTTAAGTCAGCGTTTCTCAAACTGTGGGTCCCGACCCCCTGGGGGGGCCGTGAGCAACTGAGAAAGGGGTTGCGGTATCACCAGTTTGAGAACCTCTGCCTTAAGTGGTTAGGGAAACGCTTTAAGATAAAAGAAGGAAAGAGTTTGATTATAAATATGTGAAAAGGAGGTTTTTCTGTTTTTAACATTTTTAAACTTATAGGTTCTTTTCTTAAAGGATTTCGTCAAGATATTCCTGTACGATGGGAAAAAAGTGTTTGGAGACCCTGAGCAGATGTGGTTTCTGAGGTAGGATGAAAGAACTTCAGACTTTTCAATTACCATATCTATGAATCAGCTGTGTTGTTAATTGAGTGATGATTCATCATCAGAAAAGTACTGTAGTCCTTTTGACCTGTTACTGTTTTTCTCCTCTTTCACATTGTTTCCATGAGCAAGTCATTTAACTGCTTTTTCTCAGTTTCTCCTTATGTAGAGAAATACAACTCCTCCTCTCAGGATTGTTGTGAATCTTGCTGATTTGACACATTTGAGATCTTCATAGCATTATTAGAAGCACTATTTAGCAAAAATGAATCATTTATTGTTCATTAAGTGTCCCGTCTCTTTTGTCATAGTGACATACTAACTTTCTGGAATAGTTTTACTATGATGATATTTCTTGAGTTTTGAGGATTTGAGAGTTTTTAATTTAACAGTGTGTATTAGTCTTGCTGATCTCTCTAAAATGAACAGGAGTAGAGTGAACTTTTAACATTACAGATGCTATTATACTTAAGTAGCTGTGATGGTCCTCACAGTTTTTTCCTCTGATTTGCTTAGAAGTCTGCACTGTTTTAAAGGTTGGCCCATCCATCTGCTGGAAGACAATCCTGGGAAATGCACAGTCTGCCGTTACAGGTAAGAAAAATTTTAGAAATGATTTCAAAGAAAACCAGCATTATCCAAGGAGTTAAGATTATTAAGTATTTAGATTGTGCTGTAAGTTTACATTGTGCTTTACAAATGAGTACGTCTGGCCATAGGGTTATTCACAGTAGTAAGCAGTATGCTCACTAAATATGTGTTCCTTGACCTAGGAACTAGCAGTTTGTGGGTCCTGATACTGCAGTTGGATCTGCTTTGGCTGATCCCTTTGCACTCGCAGAACTGAGATCTCCATGATACAGGATTAACTGACACAGATGTGGTTGCAGAATTCTTATCTAAATAAGGATAAACATAGAGTGCCCACTAAAAATCTAGAATTTACTTAGTGTTAGTCTCTCCACAGATGACTAAAACCTACAGCATGCAACAAAAGTCAACCTAAGATATATAACTCCAGCTACAAGAATAGTGTACCTGGAATCGACGCACCTTAAATCTAATTTCTGCAGTGTCCCCAATGAGGGAGGCCAGTGGGAGGAAACTCTTCTGTCTATGACCCCATGGAGTACTGGGGTCGCTGGGGGCATGATCAGCAGGCACTTTAGAAGGTCCTTACTAAACCCACTAAATTGACCCCCAGATCGCTCTCTGGAGTGTCAATTTTGGGGTAAGTGTTGACCTGCTCCCAGGGAGCAGTCTTGATTGCAGTCTGCAGATATTCCCCAGGGAGCAGTTTGGACTTTTGAACAGCTATGTCCCTTCAATTGTCCAGTCTGGGGTGCCTTTTACATTGTCACTATGAGAGTAAGCCCTCCTGCTCTGCTCTTACACAGCTTCCAGCATGTAAATTACTCCCAGGCTTATTGTATGAGTACTATGGCTAGTCACTCTGGTATTACGCTGCAGAGCAACACCAGTGAATTCCCAGTCCCAGAGATCTCCCCCCAGAAATTACCCAGTCCTTCCCTGGACATCATAGTCTCATATAAAGTCTGTCACTTTATTGATAGAAAATGATATGAACAAATCCTGTTATTTCAGTTGGAGTTTCCCAGACACTTCAATTCAAGTGCACTGGAATAGATAAAATAATGAAACTAGTTTAAGTACAGAAAGATTCTTTTAAGTGATCATAAGCAATGAAAAATAGAAGCTGGAAGTGGTTACAAAGATAAAACACAGCTAATACCTAATGTAAGCGAAATGATTTCAAAGCAAAAGTGTCTCTCTCCATGTTTTAAAAGTCTTACTGGCTGAATTCCTTTAGTCCAGTGTTTCCTTTATCCTTCATATATTGTCAATGCCATGAGTAGCAATGACGCAAGACATGATTTGGGGCTTCTGTTTCTCACTCTTTATGCTCTTTCCTACTCCTTTGAGAATTGTCACCAGCTAGGGTTCATGAGACAGAAAGTCTGAGGATGAGAACCCCCAGCTGTTTACAGAGATATAAATTACTCATTCACATCCTTTATCCTGCCAAAGAATGGCTGCTTAAACAGGTAATAGTTTGGACTATCTGGACTGAAGGGTGTGTTAGCCTTTTGTCTCTGAGGAACAGGTTTGTGACTGCATCTGCAGATTTGGAATATGTCTTAGTACAGTTTTATAATTTTGCATACCGTATTACCACACATATAGTACCATGACAATAAAGACCAGTAAATCATGACTTTTCACATGATACATTTTGTACAAACTGTACCTTGTGAGTTACCAGTCTTGAAAAAGGCGTGGACATAATTTGTACCCCTATTACAGGCTCATATCAAATGATCAATAAAGTCAGTCCGTCTTTCTGTTAACTTCAGTGGGCATTGGATCAAATCCTGCATTAGGCTTGACAACTCGGAGATTTAATGATAATTGCCAACTGCATATTATTTAATTGTCTAGAACATTAGTTAATTGTCTAGAACATTGGAAAATTGATTTTTCTGGCTTATGTCAGAGATACAAACCATGCTGAGTATGTTGTGAAAGAGTTCAACGCATATTTTAATAAAATAACTTATTCCTCAAAATGACCCTGAAATCTCAGCCACCCTCACAGAAACATTTGATATTATCTGGCAGATTTAACAGATGGATGTGGCAAAAGAAATAGCACAAGTAATGCAAAGCGAGTCATGCATTTATTCTCCAGTATGTGTGTTCACTAGACTGCTCCAGATCAGGGAAGGACTCTCCACACTTGCAGAACAACCTGAGTTGGGTTGTTATGAGGAGTTCTCTTAAAGTGCCTTAAAGCTGAACCTGACAGGGCTGTAGCACTTCAGGAACAGCATCCGAGTCTGCTGATTGCAAGATGGTTTTGAAGTAATAAAGAACTACTTTAACAGTTGGGGTAGTTCAGGCTGAATATTAACAAACAATTAACAATAAAAAGCTTTTCAAAATCCAAAGCGTCAACTGAAATAATAACTCCTGAAGTATTCGCTAAGAGCCTGATCCTAAAGCCCATTGGAGTCAATGGAAAGACTCCCATTGACATTAGTGAGCTCTGAATCAAATCCTGTTGTTTTGGCTCAAGCCATCTCCCACTGAAGTCCTCATTGTTTTGATTGTGTAAGGCCTGTAGGATTTGGTCTAGTATTAACACAGATGTTTTCATGAAACAAATCAACATATAAATCAAACAGAACTGCTTTATAATAAAAATATAAATGTACTCCTGCACCACTGGACATGCTAGAACATGAAACGTGAAAAGTGGAATGAATAAATCAGATAAAACTGGCTCTCTGGATTAAGGTGACTAAAATATAGAAAGTAAACAAGAGATATAAAAACAAAAAATTTAAAATAATTCGTTCAGCCTTACTGAAACCGGAGAGAACTCTTTAAACGTGACAATAAACTTGATGGACTTTTTAGTGGGTGCAGTGCTCATGGAAAATATCCTTAATTTAGACTCTTAAAAGAAATCTTAGACATCTTATAACTTTTCTATATCTGTAAATTTCCTTCTATTCTTATTGTAGAAGAGGAACTGTCATTCTGAGAAACAGTAATATGACTGACTGGATTTACATTGTGAAAGAAGTGAGTATCTGCAAACCAGCATGGAGCTTGAAGATGTGGGGAGGTGCTATTGAGTGATTATTTTAAAATTACCTTTCATGTATTTAAAGGGAAGTTGTTCTGTGCTGAAGATTTTTAAAGATGATTCTTGCCTAAGCAACAGAGATTCCTCCAACAGAATAACACAAGCTGAAACTGACAGTGAGTATGGCAGTACACTCTAATAATATTCAGCAAGATTGTTAGATAAGCCATTGGGTGAAAGTGATCATGAAATCACGAGTTCACAATTCTAAGGAAGAGTAGAAAAGAGACTAGCAAAATAGAGACAATGGATTTCAGGAAGGCGGATTTTGGTAAGCTCAGAGAGCTGATAGGTAAAGTCCCATGGGAATCAAGACTGAGGGGAAAAACAACTGAGGAAAGTTGGCAGTTTTTCAAAGGGACATTGTTAAGGGCCCAAAAGCAAGCTATTCCACTGCGTAGGAAAGATAGAAAATGGCAAAAGGCTGCCTTGGCTTAACTATGAGATCTTGCATGATCTAAAAATAAAAAAGGAGTCCTATAAAAAATGGAAAGTAGGACAAATTACAAAGGATGAATATAAGCAAACAACACAGGAATGCAGGGACAAGATTAGAAAGGCAAAGGCACAAAATGAGCTCAAACTAGCTACAGGAATAAAGGGAAACAAGAAGACTTTTTATAAATACATTAGAAGCAAGAGGAAGACTAAGGACAGGGTAGGCCCACTGCTCAGTGAGGAGGGAGAAACAGTAACAGGAAACTTGCAATGAGGTTTACCAGCTAATTCGAGTTAGGGCTTTATTTCGGAATCCCGTTTCACTGCCGCATGTAGATGCAGGCAGTTACTTCGGGCTAGTCAATTTCTAAAATGGCAACCGGCTGGGAACATGCAAATCAAGCGCGGGATATTTAAATCCCGTGCTTCATTTGCAATTTCGGTCACCCTCATTAGCCTCCCTAGATTGATCTAGGGGGCTAGTGTAGACATACCCTCAGAGAGTAGTTATTAATGGTTCTCAATCCTGCTGGAAAGGTATAACAAGTGGGGTTCCAGAGGGGTCTGTTTTGGGACCAGCTCTGTTCAATATCTTCATCAACTATTTAGATACTGGCATTGAAAGTACGCTTCTTAAGTTTGCAGATGATACCAAGCTGGGAGTGGTTTCAACTGCTTTGGAGGATAGAGTCATAATTCAAAATGATCTGGACAAATTGGAGAAATGATCTGAGGTAAACAGGATGAAATTTAATAAAGAAAAATACAAAGTGCTCCACTTAGGAAGGAACAATCAATTTCACACATACAGAATGGGAAGTGACTGTCTAGAAAGGAGTACGGCAGAAAAGGATCTAGGGGTTATAGTGGACCACAAGTTAAATATGAGTCAACAGTGTGATGCTGTTGCAAAAAAGCAAATATGATTCTGGGATGCATTAACAGGTGTGTTGTGAGCAAGACATGAGAAGTCATTCTTCTGCTCTACTCTGTGCTGGTTAGGCCTCAGTTGGAGTATTGTGTCCAGTTCTGGGCACTGCATTTCAAGAAATGTGGAGAAATTGGAGCGGGTCCAGGGAAGAGTAACAAAAATGATTAAAGGTCTAGAGAACACGACCTATGAAGGAAGGCTGAAAGAATTGGGTTTGTTTAGTTTAGAAAAGAGAAGATTGAGGGGGGACATGATAGCAGTTCTCAGGTATTTAAAAGGGTGTGTCATAAGGAGGAGGGAGAAAACTTGTACATCTTGGCCTCTGAGGATAGAACAAGAAGCAAAGGGCTTAAACTGCAGCAAAGGAAGTTTAGGTTGGACATTGGGAAAAAGTTCCTTACTGTCAGGGTGGTTAAACACTAGAATAAATTGCCCAGGGAGGTTGTGGAATCTCCATCTGTGGAGATATTTAAGAGTAGGTTAGATAAATGTCTGTCAGGGATGATCTAGACAATACTTGGTCCTGCCATAATAGCAGGGGACTGGACTCGATGACCTCTCGAGGTACCTTCCAGTCCTAGTATTCTATGATTGAATTCTCCACTAGGCATGCTTGTACACATTAGCAGTCTGAGTTCCTGTACTAAGGATGGTTTGTGTACCATTTTTATACCAGTATAACTATTTTTGTTAGGGGTATGTGAGATTTATTTTAAATAAAGTTTAACTAGTGCAACCTCTAGTGCAGGTGCAGTTGTACTAATATAAAGTTTATTTTCTTTCCTGTATGGCTGCATCTAGACTACAGGCGTCTTTCGGAAGAAGTTTGTTTCGGAAGAGGTCTTCTGAAAAAACTTCTTCCGAAAGAGAGCGTCTACACTACAAACGTGCATCAAAAAAGCGATCTGCTTTTTCAAAAGAGAGCGTCCAGACTGAATGGACATTCTCTCACATGTAAGCTGTGATTGCTATGGACAGAGTGGTCACCAGGGCACCTGTGCTTTTTCCTCTTTCCTCTTCTTCCAAAAGAACTCCCTCTTCACTGTCCACACATGCCCTTTCACGAGAAGGCTTCTACCTCGTAGAATGAGGGTTACCAATGCCGGAAAACCCCCTGTTCTTTCAGTTTTCCTTTGGAAGAACATAATTGCAGTGTGGACATTCCCCAAGTTTTGTTGGAAAAACGGCCATTTTTCCGACAAAACTCTGTAGTGTAGACATACCCTATGAGAATAAGCCATATAGCAGGTCCCTGGTATATGTTGGAGTTGTGTTCTTGAAAAGGGCGATGGATACAGATACTGGGGTCCTCCTGTACAGTATTGTACTCATGGCCACCCCCACGCTGCCTCCTCCTGCCTAGTTCCTCCACTTCCAATTGTGCTCTACCTCAGATCCTCCCCCTTCCTATAGGCATGGGAACTAGGGGTGCAGGAGTGGTGGTGCTGCAGCACCCCCAGGTTTTACTGGGGCCTCCACTCCCCATCCTAGGGCTTGAGTTCTGTCCGGCAGCCCTGCTCCCTGACTATTGGCCCCATTCCTGGAGCTCTGTGCTGGGGCCTTACGTCTTGGGGCCTGGCCACTAGCTCCATGCCCCAGCTGCTGA